TTTCTTTTTTTTTTTTTGTAAACTGAAGTAAAGAAATAAAAAAAAGGATGATCCTAGAAACAAGAAATAAGGTAAAGGCCCGAAGGCAGTAATAGCTATCCGGTCAGGAGGAAAGGCAAAAAGGTCCTTTCAACGCGGCGGTAGAGAGAGAACTGGCGGGATCTCCGCGCCCGTCCCCTCTGGGCATGCGTGCTGGGGTTCCTGCGCATGCTCAGTGGGACTCGCGCGAAAATCCTTTGAAATATAGCTTGCTACGGCACCGGTTGGGTCAGCGCAGGCGCACTAAACCCATTGGTGTGAAGCACAGAGACCACGAAGAAGATCCACAAGTTCACATTTGAGTTCTTTCAGAACTCTCGGATGTATGCCATCCAGGCCTGGGGATTTATCGGTTTTTAAGTTGTCTATCAGTCGTAGGACCTCCTCTCTCGTCACAGAGAGAGGACCACAGAGGGCATGGAAAGGCCAAGTCGTTGACATTCGCTGTTCAGGTGTGTGTCCTTGTGAGATGCTCTTGGTCTTTTGGATCCTGGGAACTGTCGCCGAAGTACCAAGCAGGTGGCAGAGAGAATGGCAGTAGGGCTGTAGGTGTGCGGTGGTGCCAGCCAAGGCCACGGGATGCTTCAGAAGCAAAAGGGACTACTGGCACCAAGCATTCAGAGTTCGCCAAATGCAACGAAAAAAGCCTGCACCTGGGAATGGATGATCACATTTTGTGGGTGCAAAACCCTCTAATGCACGTTAAATGGCTGGTTTTGAAAATCTACATGATACTCCTTGAGAAGCTTACTGTGGGGGATGGGAGGTCAGTGCTGGACTGATGCTGCGGTGGATACAGATGCGTGGACATCTTGGGGAAGGGGACTGGTTCATTTCTAGCCAAAGCTAGATTGGCAGACCACTGACTGGCCAACCCTTGTGTCAGTCACAAAGGCGCTGCCCCCTCCACCTTTTAATGGTGGGTGCTGAGGGAGCCTCCATCAAAATGATATGATGTAGCCAGGGGACATTTTGTAGAAAAAGAGGTGCAGGAGCGCATTAGCATATCTCATTAGCATAACTTATTTGCATATGCCACACCCCCTGATATCACTGGCAGTGTGTCAGAAGGCAACACCCACTGCTCAGGCGGGGCTTGTTGCATGTGCCCGCCCCCTGGGCTCTTTACTGCCAGAGCTCCGCTCCTGTAGGAAACGACCCCTGGATGTAGCAGTGCTGGGGGGGGGGCATCTGGTGGTGACAACCCAAGCACCAACAGCTTGGCCTCACCCAAGGGTTGCTAATTACCAGGGGTGCCACCAAAATGGAAAAGGAGCCCCCATGAAACACTAGAACGAGGCTAACTGAAGAGGGGCTCTGCAAATGGTTTCTGTATCTGAACCATGGAGGATTTTTAATTTTTATGTTGCTTCTGAGCTCACTGAGGCTCAGTGGAGTTCTCCTCCATTATGCAGGCAGGAAGAGAGGCTGCCCTAAGCATTGCCGCCAGGGCCCCATGGCTGAAGAATAAATTTGAGCGCTGATTGGAAAGAATCAACCTCCGATGGGTAACTCACGGTCCTGACTGATGATCAATATCTGCGCCTTTCTGCACCAGAACAGGAATGACCTCATGGTGCTTGTTCAGGACAGCCAACGTCAGAACAACTTGGTCATGATTGTTGGTGCAGTTAGGATCCGCGCCCTGAAGGTATAAAACAAGATAATCAAGCTTTCCCCCGCCTTTGTTTAGTGCATCACACAGTATTTATGGAAAGATGGGACCCTGGGTCTCCCCACTTCACATCTGACATGCTACCCAGTACACCATGCTGACTTCGAAGAAGGTTGCCCTCTGCTAAAAGGGCAGGTTCATGTCTCCACGTGGAGCCCTGCATCCCTCCACTGTGAAGAGCAGATTCTGACTCGGCGTCAGCTGATAGTGCCAGCAGCAGCCTTTCCTCTGCAGGGTAGGACTGGGCCACATGTTCTGATCCAGTCAAAGGTGGACTCTTGCGCTGCTCAGAAGTTTCAATTTGCAGCCCGTTTGCTGGCTGGCACAAGTCACAAGGATCATATCCTGCCGGTTATAAAAGAGCTTTATTGACTACCTAGTCACTCCCAGGCAGAATTCAAAGTGTTGGTTATTACCCGTAACTCCCTGTACAATCTGGGTCCAGGGTTCCAAAAAGGCCACTCCCTGGCTCCCCCATAAGCACTGCCCAAGACCCTGTAGTGAAGCTTACATAGAGAATGGCCAGTGGAGGGTGAAGCTGGCTACTGAGAGTTTTTGGTTGCTGGGAAAAATGAGAGACTGCTGGATGGCAGCAGGGGAGACCGTGACGGGCAAGAGGCATGTTGAGAGATGGAGCTGAAAGGTAGCTAACAGAATGAGGCTGACCAGTAGAAGGTGGATATTTGAAACTATCAAGAGTAACAGAAGAGCTTCAGAGCACCCACTCGACCTACTGAAATTGCCTCTTTTTTTTGTTTTGCTGTCAAATCGCAGCCAACCTATGGTGACCCTGTAGGGTTTTCAAGGCAAGAGACGTTCAGAGGTAGTTAGCCGTTGCCTGCCGCTATGCAGTGCCCCTGTTATTCCTTGGTGCTCTCCCATCCAAATACTAGCTTCTGAGCTCGGACACGATTGGGCTATCCAGGTCTGGACTGACTTCTGGAAAGACCTATTAAATACAGTGTGTGTTAGAGGGAGAGGGCCCGCAATGTTCCCTCTAAGCTGTGGGGTCTTGTGAGCAAAAATTCTACTTTGTGAGCGACTGGCATTAAAGTTGTGAGCAGGTGATTTGGTTACTACATGTATTAGTTTGCTCTGGAGCCATCCCTCCTGAACTAAGACAAAAATGTGTGAGCCAGAGGCTAAAAAACTGTGAGCTGGCTCACACTAACTCAGCTTAGAGGGAACACTGGAGAGGGGTACAGATATGCAATAGATCAACGAATAATGCTTTTCTGATTAAATACAGAACAGTACTGGCAACTGAATAGATGTTCGACTAACTGGTGTAACAAACTTTGTAAGGCTTTGGTTACTATGCTGGTTTGCTACCTGATTGATGATTGTAGTCTTACTATGCTTTGTGATGTTTGCCGTTTTGTTTTGGGTTTGTTTCATCTGACAATCTACTGTTTGTAAAATGGACATAGCCTCGTTAATTCTCTGTTGTTGTAGGATGACAAAATCAAATAAATTTTATTTTAATTAAAAAAAAGAACCTATGGTTTGTATATTGTCTTTCCAAGTAAGTACACTTGTTGCGGGCAGCGGCTAGAAAGGTTCTCTAATGGCTGCCCACCACCCTGGCATGGGTCTCCTTGGGAGGGCCCAGAGCACCCACCCTACCCCTTTATCTACTCTTTTCCAACAGCTTTCCCCTTATAAGTGACCAAATGAGGCAAGAGGGCCAAGGCAGAGTAACAAACTAGTTTTACTCAAGAGATTTAATAACAACTATAAAGTCATGTATGGCTGCGAGAGTTGGACTATAAGGAAGGCCGAGCGCCGAAGAATAGATTCTTTTGAACTATGGTGCTGGAGAAGACTCTTGAGAGTCCCTTGGACTGCAAGAAGATCAAATCAGTCAATCCTAAAAGAAATCAACCCTGACTGTTCCCTGGAAGGCCAGATAATGAAACTGAAGCTCAAATACTTTGGCCACCCAATGAGAAGGGAGCCCTCACTGGAGAAGACCCTGATGTTGGGAAAGACTGAAGGTCAAAGAAGACGGGGACGGCAAAGGATGAGATGGTTAGACAGTGTCATAGATGCAACGAACATGAAATTGAGCAAACTTCAGAGGACGGCGGAAGACAAGAAGGCCTGGCGTGATCTGGTCCATGGGATCGTGAAGAGTCGGACTCGACTGTGCGACTGAACAACAACAAAATAATCCAATAACATGAAGGGAAAATGAGCACCGTCAAGGTAGGTAAACTGGCAAAATAGGAAGCCCCAACGCGTCTGACTGTACTGTCCCTGGCCTTCTCTCGGTATCTGGCCTCAAGCCGACTCACCCCCTTTGGATGAGGGATCCCTCCTTCCGCAGCAGGTTCACCCCAGCTCTGCTCCCTGGGAGTGAACCACCTCCCACTTCGGGCGAGGCCTTTTACCCCTTCTTCCCAGGCCAGCACCCTCTAGTATTCTACTAGGGTAAATTTTCCCTCCAAATCCCCCTGTTAACCAATCACAGGATCCAAAGGGTGACCTGGGAAATGTAGGCCCTGATAGCTATTGTAGTACAGGCTTCCCTGGAGCCACTAGGCCTCCCTAGAGCCTGTAGGCCGCACTACTATAGGCCTAGGATCATGACAACACTGTTACAAATACTAATTTCTTACATTAATTAGAATTTGTTTAAATAATAGATTTTTTTTTTAAATCCCAACCAACCATCACTGGCTTTTGTCACTAAACTACATTATTTATGACTTTAGTACAGACTCCAGGCAAAACCATAGCTGCACTCTGGTTAATATGGTGAAACCGAATTTGCCATCACTTTTTGTTAATCATTTCCCCCAGTTTGAATAAAAGTTAGAGAAATGTTGGGTGGGGTCCCCTCCTCGATTTGGGGGGTATGGGGTGGGTGGGAACATCCCCAAGCCCTGCGCCCCCAAGCGCAATCACCCGCCTGGTCACCCCTCTCCCTCCCTTCCTGATTTAAAAGGCTTCAGCTGATCGGTGGGGACCACGTGGTCTGTGGACCAGCTGGAGGGCCCTTTAGCGGGAGGGAGGGGCAGTCACGGGCAGCACGCGTGGCTCGCAAAAAGACCCTTTAAAGGGGAAATCAGCCCTGTACACTATGGCTCCCATCCCACTCACAAAAAGATCCTTAAAGGGTCTTTTCGTGAGCCGAGTGAGCGGCCTGTGACCTCCCCTTTCCCTCCCTCCAGCTGGCCGGGGGCGGATTGAAGCCTCCAGAAGTGGGGGAACCCCCACCTGGACCTGGGGGCTGGAAACCCTAATCTTGGGAAGCACCATCATTTTAACTGTGTTAACTTGCCCCCAAAATGATAATTTTAGGGCAGGCCATGCGACAGCTCATTATTTGAGTGTTGGGAATTTGTAATATAAATTGCAATGTCATCTGAAAAGAGAGGTGGCTTATATGTGTGACTTCTTGTAGTTACGCCCTTATTTATTACTGCAAACGGATACATCTAGTGGTTCTAAAGAAATGATGACCAGTAGTGAAGGCAGGTAGTGGTGTAGCGCAATGACCTAGATAGTCCAATCTCTTCAGATCTTGGAAGTTAAGCAGGGTCAACCCTGGATAGTATTTGGATGGGAGACCACCAAGGAAGTCCAGGATCGCTATGCAGAGGCAGAGGCAGGGACCGCCTATCTCTATATGTTTCCCCAAGGGCACTATGGTGGTGGTGGTGGGGGGGCGTCATCTCCTGGAAATTCCAGGCCCTAGAGATGTTAAATTTGTGGTGACCAGGACCAGGGCATTTTCGGTGGCGGCTCCTACCTGGTGGAAGGAGCTCCCGGAAGAGATCCGGGCCCTGCGGGACCTTTCTCAGTTCCGCAGGGCCTGTAAGACGGAGCTCTTCCGCCAGGCCTTTGAGTAGGAGCCGCCGCCACTACTATTCCACCTTCGCCTCCTATGCACTGTCGTATTACCATCATGATTATCTCTGGAGCCATCCCTCCTGAACTAAGACAAAAATGTGTGAGCCAGAGGCTAAAAAACTGTGAGCTAGCTCACACTAACTCAGCTTAGAGGGAACACGTGGCCCCGCCCCCAGCGTGCCTGGCATCGTCACGTCACTTCCGGGTGACGTGCATGCGGCGCGCATGCGCACCAGACGCCGGCCGGGAGCCCCCCACTCCCGGCGAAGATTGACTTGGCAACCCTACCAGGATCGCTATGCAGAGGCAGGCAATGGCCAACCACCTGTGAACATCTCTTGCCTTGAAAACCCCACCAGAGGTCACTATAAGTCAGTTGTGACTTGAGGGCAGGTATAAAACATGAAGGCAGGGAGTTAAGTGAACCTTAAGTGGTTTCCCTAAATAATGCATAGGAAGCTGATAGCAAACCAGTTACTTTTAGTGTTGCTTTGGCACAAATATATATAGCTCTTATCCATTCTATAAAATCTGAACCATAACAAACGTTTCCAAACAATTAAATATTGCTGTTTCAGACTTTCTCAGCATCTTAAGAACAACACTGTGGCTTCCTCTTTATGTATTCTAGAGTGCCTATCATCTTCAAAATATTTGAGGTTAGCTGTCTTTTTGATACAAACTTTGCTCAGCCACAAGAAATATATTTTGAAATTATGCCTTTCATTCCATTGGCTAAAACAGAAGCGATGATTTTATATTCATAGTTAAGCAAGCGCACTGTTCGATAAGAGCTACATTCTATTATCCTTTTTAATCTTTGAAATTATTTCTTTGCCTGCTTTTTAATCTATTAGCTAACAGCTTTCCAGCTTTATTGTCTTTTAAAATACTTTTTGTTTTAAATATAATTGTTATATGCATTTTTCCAGGACATTTTTCCAGCTCTAATTTTGCTTTTTCTGCTTTTCAGACTAAACAAATCTTATCAGTCTGGTTTAGCATTTGTGCGTTCCTTAACTTCCTTAAGTCGCCTAGGCACTCATTAACTTCTTGTACCTTCTTTTTGTTCCCATAACTGAAAATACTAATAATTACTCGTCTTCAATATGTCTTAGGAGCTCCCGAAATAATTTATTCTGTGAATTCTGGGCCTTTGTTAATTGGGGGAGGGGGGGAGAGAACTCACTTGGCCTTTATTTTTTGTGTTATTTCCTTGTTTTAACACCAAATGGTTGGGTCATCGCTCTCTATATTTGCATGTCCTGTCCCTAATTCCACAAAGATATTGGAATCAGTGTTCCCTCTAAGCTGCACTAGGGGGTGCTAGTGCACAAAAGTTTAGCTCCTGCTCAGACATTGTAGTTTCCAGCTCACAAGCATGGGGGCACCTCCTTCTGGGGCCCATAGAATTGGACCCCCGGTCCAATCTTTTTGAAACTGGGGGGGGGGGGATTGAGGCAGAGGCACCAGCAGCTATGCTGCAAATTTGGTGCTTCTACCTCAAAAAACTGGCCCCCCAGAACCCCAGATCGATTCTCCATTATAGCCTATGGGGCCCATTGACTATAATGGTCCCCATATAATAGTCCTCATTGACTATAACGGTCCCCATAGGCTATAATGGAGCCGGGGGAAAATAATTTTTTTTGCACACCCCTATTATGCTTTTCAGTATGATTTGTAAGCTGCCTTGAGTCACAGTAAAAGTGGGATTTAAATAGTTGAAAAAACAAGTAGTTTGGACAGGTTGATAACATTTAAGTAACTTCCTGTTAAGTTAGACAGGGTTCTGACAGTGATTGTTCCATCTCTGTTATCCTTGACCTGTAAATTTGTTGTATCTCAATTAAAAAAACCCAAAAGTAGACTGCAAGAGTTCCCGCACCCACCCATGTTTTGGTATGTTTTCTAAGGCTCAACGCAGGGTGACAGTCCAAAGCCAGGTCTAGTAATATAGTGAACTGGGGTGGGTAGACCTGTTATCTAAAGGCCAAGTCTACCAATAGAGTGGAAAGGGGAGGGTAGACATGTTCTCTGGAGGCCAGGCCTTCCAATATAGTGGAAAGGGACAGGTAGACCTGTTCTGTGGTCTTGAGCAAAGGTTTGCTCTCTTTCCTTTTGATGTTGCTCTCACCAAACATCTACCAATTTAAAAAACGACAGAGCACTCTTAGAAAAAGATCTAAGTATTTTTGTTATTTATTATTTTGTCTAGATCTGTCTTGCATTTTCTGCAGCAGTATTTATATACCCTCCTGTTATCAATTCATTTTTACAAACTGGGTCAGTTGTTCAGTTTCAATAGCAATACTTTTATTTGCAAAAACTGCTTGAAGAAAAATATATTGTCCATCCTTGCCCTAAATATATCTTTAACCTCATAGTTATTCCTTTTATGTAAACTGACATCCCCCTAGTTTTGATAGTTTCAGCTGCTGCTGCAAAAATATCTCCCAGCCTCTCATTTTTCAAATACAGTAAATGACATTTATGTGTGTGTCTTGCAAGTAAATAACATTTGCTTTCTGCTTTTTCAGCTTTAAAAAACCGTTTGATCTTCTTCGTGGTCTCTGTGCTTCACACCAATGGGTTTAGTGCGCCTGCGCTGACCCGACCGGTGCCGTAGCAAGCTATGTTTCAAAGGATTTTCGCGCAAGTCCCACTGAGCATGCGCAGGAACCCCAGCACGCATGCCCAGAGGGACGGGCGCGGAGATCCCGCCAGTTCTCTCTCTACCGCCGCGTTGAAAGGACCTTTTTGCCTTTCCTCCTGACCGGATAGCTGTTACTGCCTTCGGGCCTTTACGCCCAAGGTCATCCAGCAGGTGCAAGTGGAGGAGTGGGGAATCAAACCCAGTTCTCCCAGATTAGAGTCCGCGCACTTAACCACCACGCCTCTTTGCCTTATTATACTGTTCTAATATTGTACTGCTTGCCCTTTTGTGCAAAGGATAGGGGTGCCCTATTTGTGAATCACCGGCTTATTTTGAAGCCTGTCAGTTGCTTTGTTTATTCATTTAAAATGGTGGTGGAAACTACGGTCAAGTCCCAGCTGACTTATGGCGGCCCTGTAGGGTTTTCAAGGCAAGGGACGTTCAGAGATGGTTTGCCATGGCCTGCCTCTAAGTCACGGCCCTGGTATTCCTTGGAGGTCTCCCGTCCAGATACTAGCCAGGGCCGGCCCTGCTTCGCTTCCGAGATCTGACGAGATCAGGCTAGCCTGGGCTATCCAGGTCAGGGCACTGATTTAAAATACTTAATTTTAAATATACCTTTCTACAGGGCACTGATTTAAAATACTTAATTTTAAATATACCTTTCTACAGGACCCAAAGTGGCTTACAAAATATAAACATACACAATTAAAAAACACAGCTGATACACATAAATGAAGTTAAAACGGCAACTTCTGCAACAGATATCACCAGCTGCCAGACAAGCTCATTAATTACTTCTGCCAAAGGTACAAAAATTGCTGGAGGCGGGGTTGCTGGAGGCGGGGGCCCCCCCCCTCCCCGCGGCACCAATCAGCTGGCCGGCAGGGGACTTACAGCAGGAAAAAGAGGCCTAGGCCTGTGTCGCCAGCGGTATGGTGATGTCACCTGTTAAAAATTGCTTCTACCTTAAGAGTTTTTGCCCCAAATATTAGAGTCTTCCTGCGTCCCCACCAGTGCTGTGATAACATCACTTCTGGTGTGCGTTGGAAATGACGTCACCACATTGCTAATGATGCAGGCCTAGGCCTAGTTTTCCTATCTATAAGTCTCTCCCCCCCACCCCCGTCCCATGTCTCACTCTTGAGGGTTTGTGGAGTTTCAGGAACATACGTAGTGTTTGGGATGGTGACTTTTCTGCCAGACGGAGAGTGAAATCTGGTGGCCAGAGTCAATGTGAAAAAGTTATCCCAAATTAGTTCTAAGAGTACTCAGTGTGTGAGATCATCCAGAGCAGCCCTTGGACCTTCACTGAAAATATTACCACACTTTACCTAGGAAACCCATTCAGATGAAGGGCTTACTTTAGGAGGAGCTATATGACTAGAGTCCCTGTTCATGCTTGTGCCTTTCACTGAGGCAATCCACTTCCTTTAACATGAGTGTAACCAAGAACTTTAGGTTGGCAATGTAGGCATCTTTATGGCATATACCAATTACATTTATTTTTTCCTTGGGCAATTACTAAGTGTAGGATTCAGAATAATTCATAACCATCGTGCAGGCACATTTTGGAACACCACTTAACTCTTACCTCATCAATCAGTTGCTCCACCAGGAAAGGTCGACCTTCGCCTTCTGGACCAACTTCCTTCAGCAGCTGCCTGGATTCACTCTATTGAGATAGCAATAACGAATTACACGCCATTATACACCAATGGTCAAATTATTTTTATGAACTCAACCAAGCCAAATGGATATCTAAACCACACACATTTATGAAAACAGCTGCCTTTTAAAAATCCTGAACAGCTGAAAAGGAGCCAAGTTGCATGTTAAGTATTGTCCTCTTGCAGAAAATCCTCTGAAGCCTCATTAAATTCAATTTGTCAGATTAGAGATCATGAGCCAATTAAGGGATAACTGAGGTACTCTGGAGGAAACATTCACATTGGTAAAGTCTTCAGCTTGGCTCAAGTGGGTTCATTACTTCCCTCTTCCTATCCTGGGAATACTTGTAGATAGATGGAATGAAGAAACAAAAGTATTCAGACAGTGTCCTGAAAAAGGTCTGCCAGTGGTCCATGAATTTCCTAGCATGCTGGTCCCTTGTTGGAAAGCCAATAAACTTCCTTTTCACAAGGGACACATGGCTGGACTTCCCCTTATTACGTGTCTCTGGGTGTGGCCTCACTGGTGGCTTGGCATGCTTAAATATGGCCTTTGTGCTCAAAACCAAAACCAAAATTCATGTAATACCTTTTATTAGGACCAATCAAACTTGGCACTTAAAACAGAACTGTGCTCAAGCCGGGGGTAAGGAGGTTACCATCCACTTGAAGCGAAAGATCCAGAAGTGGCAACAGCTTTAATGTACTTCATTTAGTACCTACTTTACTTTTTTGTAAATTGCCAATAAATTTATAGTTTTGGAGAAATTTTATTTTACTTATTGTTTTGATTTATATCCTGCCCTTTCCACAAGAAAGCTCAGGGCGGGTCACAACAATAAATTTCAATACAATCTTAAAATGATTCTGTTAATAGACATCAAACGTTAAATCAATACAATAAAATCAGTTAAAAACAGTTAAAGTGGGCAGTGCAGCAAATTTCAATTTTCAGTGCCTACAGCTGGGAATGAATGGGCCGAAGCTGAGCCATAAAGGTCTCGTTAACAGCAGCCTACTGATAGGAATAAAATAATAGTAGTACATATTGAGAGAGACAGTACATATTGAGGTATAGGACAGAGTATGAAAATTGAGTTTTTATTTTGATGTAGTATATAAAATGTACAGATAATTACTGAATTTGACTGGGGAAAGTAGGTTATTATTTGCTTAGGTTGTTTTAAAAACTTTGGGAGATCTATGCTGAGTAAATAGATGAAAGATCAGAAGGCTGTCTGTGTTGATCTTGAATTAAAGAGAAGAAAGTCTGGTATTGCAAGTAGGAGGATACTTATACTAGGGGTTGGTAGACAGTCTGGTTCATGAATTAACAAAAATATAGGTTGAATTATGGTTAGAGAGATAGATATATATCAGAACACATCATTAGCTTACTTCTGTTCACTGAAACTGTTGTAAGAAGTGATAGTATTGTTTGTTCTGAAAACCAATAAAAAGATTGTT